CAAAAGCAAATACAGATCCTGCCTGTTAGACCACACGCCTCTCTCTCTGATGCACATTCATTGTCTAAGATGACAACAGAGACTTTGACCCAAAGCAGCTGTTGACTTGTGGATGCAAACGGTAGGCTTAACCAGGGTGAAAGAAGCAGGCCTACATCCTCATCTACCATGTTCGAGAGAAAAGAAGATAGTGAGGAAAGCAGTCAGGAGGAAAGTGATGACAGCTTGTAGGATAAGTGCACAGTGTAAGTGTGAGTACCAAGCAGCATCTCCAGGTGCTCCCTTGAGAACCAGATCAAAAAGTTATGTGCACCGCTGGTTATAGACATGTTATTTTATTGAATATTTTGATTCCCCAAGTTGGTGATTTCACTTAATTCCCAGCATAGTGCCACCCAGCATCAACCGAGCAGAGGTCACGTGTGTGTGTGCGTGTGTGTGTGTGTGTTGACACTACTTACCTACTTGAAACCTTGGCAAAACGAGTCCTAGACCTACTTTTATGCATAAAGATAAGAATAATATTGATATTCTTGTCTGACTCTTTGTAAGAGACATCTCCACAGTAAATACATTGTTAGTAGCAGTGTTCTTTAGTTGTTGGTTTTTAGTTACACTTACCTACAGATTTCTTTGATAAAGACAAAAGACTGCTTTTTCTGATAGGTTAATGATGCTATAGGAATGGAATGGCCATGGATCTATTTCACCACTCTTATCCTGGTTGGCTCCTTCTTCGTGCTTAACCTGGTTCTGGGTGTGCTCAGTGGGTAGGAACACGCATCCATTCATTTCTTTTACACAATCATGATTTACCCTTTGCTCTGGACATTTCTCCCTGCCATCTTTGTGTCTGTTCTTCACATTATTTCTCACTTTGTTCTCTGTCTTGGTTTTCTTGTTTCCCACTAGTGAGTTCACAAAAGAGCGGGAGAAGGCCAAGTCCCGTGGAGAGTTTCAGAAGCTGAGGGAGACTCAGCAGCTGGATGAAGACCTCAAGGGCTATATGGAGTGGATCACTCAGGCTGAGGTTATGGACAATGACCAAGAGGGACAGGGTAAGACCACGACACAGAACAGAATATTCGGGGAATAGAATTAGAATGTACAGGACTGTGCCAGTCTGGCACACCTGTCAAAACTCCTATTCATAGTTTTCACGTGACGTCACATTCCATGAAAAACGGTCATTTGGAGGTAAACAAATACGTTATTTTCTGCTGCCTGCCAACCAGGAAGCAAGTGATACACTGTTACTATGAGTTTTTTACTTTTGCATTGCCAAAATGCTGGATGGTAGTTGTACTTTCTGATGCACAAATCAGGAAGAGACAAGTCTGAGCTGTGTTAGGTGAGGGATTCCCCACAAGGTAAACGTAAACATTACCGCAGTCGAGCGGTGGCAGGGACCTGCCGCTTTTTAACGATAGAAATGCGGCAGCGGATGCTGTAACATGGATCGGAAGTGCCCAACACTTGCAGTTTGTGTTCATATCTTTCTTTTTTCTTCTTTAAGTTAGAGGTGATCCAAATAATGTAACTGCTTTTGCGGCGTCTCTACGGGGGAGTCGCGGCGTCAGCCGTTGTGTGGTCAGTTTTTCGCTCCAGTACCGCGAATGTCATGTGACTGAAAACTATGAATTAATCAAAGTTGTAAACTTAAGGATTAACATACTCATTGCCAGTCTTCTTTACCATAACACACTGATCACAATTAGTGACAGAAACACAACAACTGCAGGTTAGCAATTGAAAAAAACTGTAACACACAGTACTATGAACTTTACTTACTAAGATAAGCTGATAAGACAATTCATTAATTATATAGAGTAATTTCAGCTCTAGTTATGTTAAGAGCTGCTCCATATGTTAATGTAAATTCAGTTAGTGATCCAGATCTCATCCAGATCGGTTTTGCTTGGCTTTTGACACAGAAATATGTGCACTGATTTCTAACTGTATGACACACGTGTGTGTGTGTGTGTGTGTGTGTGTGTGTGTGTGTGTGTGTGTGTGTGTGTGTTTTCATCAGGCCTGCTCACTGCGGAAAATGGAGGATCAGAGACCGGAAGTGTCAGCAAAATGGACACAATGCAGCTGATCTATCTATTCAGTAGTGCACATGTCATCTTTACAGTATGGCTAACCCTAACCCTAACCCTGTTGAATGGAAGGTTCAGTCATGAATTGCATAGAATGACATCATATTTCAGAATCAGAATCAGCTTTATTTGTCAGGTATGTGTACACATATGAGGAATTTGACTCTGGATTGTTCATTGCTCACGATGTGCTTACTCATACAAAAATACAATGATAAAATCATACACAGGCTGCAGTATAGAGAACACATATATACACTCTATAAACAAAACAATATAGACAGTGCATAGTGCAAAGGATGAAAGAGTAAATTATTATTATCATTATTATTATTATATTATTATATTATTACTATTATTATTATTATGTACATGTTGGAGGTGGATGAGATATACAGGTACACATACACATACATGCATACATTTACACAGTGTGATGGAGCACAGTGCAAAGGATGTTGGAAAAAAATTGCACTGCACTCCCCTTCCTGGGGTCTTTCTGCCACCTCCTTTCCTCCTTTCTTCAGGTGTCAGGAATTACCTATACCATTTAATGTTCAGAGATGTATTCTACCCAGGAAATCTCTATTTAAAGCTGGGGTAGGCAACACTCGAGAAAATAGCAAGACAGCTAGGGTTCTTCTCAAGTCTCTTATTTGTCGTTTCCTCGCTCCTCGATCCTCACTTGAACTGGAAGTTGTTCCACTCCGCCATCTTACAGGTTGTCCCAAAGCTCTTATTTGCTCTGAGGAGCTATGAGCGAGAATACACTAGTGCATCCTGTGCGGAAGTCTTTTAATGACCCATTTATGCCCATTTATTGGGTAGCCGTTAATGATTGGACGTTGCAGCTGATTGGAATGATCTGATACATCAGGACAGATTAAAATCAAGTGTATCGCTGAAAAGTCTTATATTTGAGTTGTTTTATGATTCACTGTCTTGTTAAAATCTGTGTTCATTGCAGGTCTGAACAACAAAAGCCCCACACCAACTTTATTTATTTATTAGAAAGATCTTTCTTGTATTTCTCCCATCAACTTTTATTATGGAGACAAGAATCATTTCTGTGTTTAGTCCAAATAGACCGATAAAACATAGTACACGTAAGGAGTGGGGCACTAAACTGCTCCAAAGTATCTAATGAAGTGAGCAAAGCATCTGATGAAAGCAGCCGGCAGCTCCGCGAGTAAAATCAGCTGATAAAAGTATGAATGAAAGCTGCTGCACTAAAAAAAGCGTCGGGACTGATATGATGGAACGCAGTGATCGATCGGTGACAAGTGACGTGACCTGCAATAAAATGTATGCAGTAGTGTTAAAGGATATCAGAGGAGGAAATAAATGGAAAGCCTAAAACTGAGTGTCAACTTTGACACAAGTTACATCGTTTCAATTTCCCTGAAACATTTAGCCTAATAAATCCAAAGACACCATGATCATATTCTGGGTTATTCAAACGAATTCACATCAGAATCAATAAATATAAATGCAGATAATATCAGCATTGTGCCAGTAGAAATGATCCTTTGCCTCTGAGCAGGACATACAGAAACCTGTAATTATTCATGTGCAGGTGTTTGTTAACAGGTAACAAGAATCATGCTGCTCTGCACTAAGAACTGGGAGACTTTATTAGTACCAATACAGTGCACATGTATATAGACACAAACTCCAAAAAGTCTCTACAGCTGTTAGAGCCGACTGATCCAGCTGTGATCAGCTGCCGCCGTCATCATAAACAGACGTCGCTTTATGTGATGCTTCAGAGGAAAGGACGTCTCATGTCACTAGAAACATATTTCCTCAACATATTTTCCTTGCATCTCTCCATGCATCCCCGGTGGGCAAGACTAACACGCAAGGAAAGACGCAAGTGAGGGAAAGGTGGATGCAATTAAGACTTGAAAAGCACCCCTAGATTTTGAAAGTACCCCACTCCCTACCTTCAGGCCTCTATACAAAGCCCCTCCCCCAAAACACATTTCATGTGCAGTGAGCGCACAGGTAGAATGCACACAGGTTAGGCAGGTAGACAGTCAGGAAGACCAGCCAGTCATTTCATTTGAAATCAGAATTAAATGATTTGCCATGCCTAAGCGACAGCTATAGAAACTGGATTTTTTTTTATGTTTAAGTCAGAGCATTTAATTATTGATTGCTGTTGGGATGTTAAGAGAATTTTAACAAATAGAGAAAGATGCTTCTAAAATAAATTGCCTACCCCAGCTTTCTCTAAAGACGGAAAGGATTGTACAGGTTAGGTTAAAATCAAGGGCAACTGGACTGAAGAAACTTGAAGACGTTTTGGCTCTCACCCGAGAGGCTTCCTCAGTTTCTGACTGACTGGCACTGAGTCCCAGCTATTTGACCTCTGTGGGGTCATTATCAAGGTGATGGATACCGCTGGTTCGTTAATGCCCCTGGCTGTGGTAACAGTCGTTATGGTTGTTGGAGTCACCTGAGGCAAGAAGTCTGAACAACAGGCATTGGCATTGTCACATGAGGCCAAATGTAATTGTTTGTTCTGTCTCCTGGGAAGAGTACAGCATTGTAGGTGGAGGATAAGTGGTGTTTCACCTTCCTCCTCTGTTGAGTGAAGGTCTTGCACTCTTTCACTCCTTTCAAACCATCTATCCTCCCTATCCAGAATATGAACATTGTTGTCATTGAGTTTCCTTTATCTTTCAAATGCAGGTAAACTGCTGAGTTGTCCCTTCTGTGTTGAGCCATGCGTGTGGGTAGAGGTTGTTTTGTTTCTCTGATATACTGTGCAGGCCTGTGCATTCCTCACTGCATTGGACCGCATACACTAGATTGCTTTTCTTGTGTTTGGGTGTGCAGTCTTTAGGTGGGCCATATCTGTCTTAGCGTGTTCTTGGGTTTAAAAACACACAGGGATGTTTTGTTTGTTATACTCCAGAAATATACTGAATCATGATGTTGTTGCATTTCCTCTTCTTTTCTTCATCCCCCATAGTGTTGGTGTTCTTCCTAGATCCTGAGGCAGTTTTCACAAAGGTCCAGTCTGGTATCCACAAACTTTAAGTGCCTCCTTCATGTGTTTATGCTCCTTCTCTTGGCCCGAGCACTTGTTGGTATGTTATTAGCTTGGTGGTGCAGGGTCAAGGCCAACATCTTCAGTCCAGTCTGGTTACCCTTGATTTTAACCCTCCTTGAATAAAGGATTGTATGTTTTCATTAATCAGCTTCCTTTAAGCAGGATTAGTACTTCAGAGTTTCTTGACTCATCATTTCTCTTAAGTCAACTTGTCTTTCTTCTTCTGTGCAGTAAACTGGCTCGAAAGTGGAATCGCTGGTTACGCCGTAAATGCAGAGCATATGTGAAGTCCAGACTATTCTACTGGTGGGTGATCATGCTCGTCCTCTTTAATACACTGGCCATCGCAACGGAACACCACAAGCATCTCAGAGACTGACCAACTGGCAAGGTCAGAGCATTACACACATGCATTTCATATTGTACATTTAAAATGCATGATCAATGTTTAAAGTGGTCAAATTTTAATCATTTTCAGGTTAATAATTTTATTTAGGGGTTGTAACAGAATAGGTTTAAGATAAGATATACTTTATTGTCACCGAAGGGAAATTTGTTTTGGACTCGTTCTGCAGCTTAAATACAAGCACAAAATACAGAAATAAAGCATCTCTCAACACATATTCTCATGCAACACAACACATGCTATCATATACATTAGACAGTTACCTATATAGTAGCACATTGACTCCTTCTTCCAATGCCAGTTTTGATTGAACAACCCTGTCGGCTGCATTCCCCGCAATGTAGCACAACCCCTGCACAATGAGATATTGCACGCACCTAATAGCTTATTTATTGCACAAATAACATATTGCACAATCCCAATAGCCTACATATTGCACAAATGACACATCTCACATAACATGTGCAATACATGATGACATATTGAACAATCACAATAGCCTAGATATTGCACCACTAATATATTGCATAACCCCGATAGCCTACTATTGCACAATGACATAGTGCACAACACAGCCAGCCTACATGTTAGTGTAGGAACACTAAATCTTCTACCAGAGGGTAAAAGCTGAAATTCTGGGTGAAGTATGTGGGTCGGATTGCCTGTCCGAACCGACTGCTCATAAATTGTCTGGAGGGGCAGATGGTTTTTGACTCTCATAATCTTGATCGATCTATGATTTGGACTGTACTGTCAGGTTACCATACCAGGCTGTGATACCGTATCTTATAGTATGCATGCATGATAAAACAACAACATAAATTTATGCTCGACTCCACACACTCTAAGTCTTCATAAAAAATGCATCCTCTGCTGAAGTCTGGAGCAGAGAGTATTCAACAGCTAAGTGCATTATCGATATGTACACCAAGGTACTTGTAAGAGTTATCCTGAGTAATGGGTAAGTTGTTGATCACTACAGGCCTGGTGTCACCTATGGCCTTTGGGTCAAGCACCATCTCCTCAGTCTTGGTCACATGAACTAAAATCAACAAACAAAACGCGTGCATAGACCTCAAGGTGTTTACTGACCAGATGTGATATGCTATTAATAGCGTCATCTGTGCCACGCCCCTGAAACTGAAAAGGGTCTAAAGACACACCAACCTCTTGCTTAAGAAATTACACCATTATCCTCCCAAGACATTTCATGACAATGAATGTCAGTGCCACAGGCACTCACCTTTGGGCGAGCTTTTTTTACAGGAATAATTACTGAATTCTTCCACAAGGCGGGGATGGTGTGTGAGTCTACTGATTTTTGAAAGATGGGGCACCATGCCGGTGTCTGCTCCTCTGCACATGTCTTTAGCAGGACTGCAGAGATTCCATCAGGCTCAGAGGCCTTCTTCGTACATAAGTCTTTAAAAAGCAATCTGACCTCCTGAGGTTCTATCACCAGCCTCGTGTCCTGTTCTGTGACAGAGATTGACTCTAAAACATTCTTCTATTCAGAGGAAAAGTCCCGAGATTCAAATCTCAGATAGAAGTCATTCAGGTCATTAGC